AAATCCTTGATGTTTATAACTCCTGGCTCACAAAAAACATTGAGCCTTGAAGACAAACATAAAAACATTAAAGCATTAGATAATTTAATATATGGTTTTAGAAAAAAAAGCAAGTAAGAAATTGTTGTAATATGTCTCTCATTATCCTCAGTGGAGAAAAAACACTAAGTGATACTAGAACTGTCTGAGGACAGCAGGGAATTCATGTAAATACTGGGTGATTCCCAGTCTTGGTCTGAGAAACCATTTTCTAAAAGTGATACAAGATGATAAGACATACAACATCTTTCTGCTGAGAGGCACAATGTTGTGAGACGGTCAGAATAAGAAACAACATACATTATAGATGAGAGGATCAAAATCCCTTGTAAGAGAAATTGAACCTTTCAAAAATTGATGGTTTTGACAACAATTGCTTGCTATTGTTTTAATATTGTAAAGGTCAAACTGGAGCACACAGGAAGAGTTGTTAGAAATTTTAGTAATAAGTAAGCAGAAACAGGAGAACCATCTCAAGGCTGTATTCTTCTGTAGCTGTTCAATTATTAGGGCTATTATTTTTTTCTTCTTTCAGAAGAGAAGACCTTCCCTAATATGTTAAGGAAGTTAACTATTTCCTGCAAGAAATAAGAGTATAAGAAGGTCTTGTTTTATTAAAGCTTTTAAAAGTCCAAAGTGTTGATATAAATTACAAGAAAATACAGAAATCTACAGTAAAAGTCTATGGTAAAAATACAGAAAGTCTACAGTACTGCAGAATTAGTGAAAGATATGATGAAATGTAAAAGGTGACAAACTTTAATCACTCTTTAGTTCATGTTGCTGTTATAACTGTCTATAAACAATCTGTGAACATAGAATTAATAACAACTAATAGAAAATATAGATTTATTAAATATCCTTAAGGTTAGGATATGAGATTGAGAATATTGCTCAGACTATGGTCAAAATTTGGGTTTTGTTTCTAAATTAACCTAAAGTACAGGATGGTTAATACCACATTTATTAATATGTTAAGAACATATTTTTTTATTAACTGTGTAAAAGTGCCATTTGCTACCTTCATTCAAAACTGTTACACACCTATAAAAATCTACCTTTTAATTAACTGATGTTTATACAGTATATATTTGAGAAGTGTTTTTGAACTCCCAAGAGGAAAAGAACATAATGTGAATCAAGATCTAAATGTGAAATCAAATCTTTTTATTTCTATCTGTGGTTTTTAATCTATGGAAAATGTGTGCTGACCTGTTTAAGGATAATTAGAGACAAAATAAAAAAAACCTTAATTAATTTGACTTTGCCGATGTTTTAAACCATGTAATATTTTCACTTTAATCTCCCTGAGATGCTACAAGCTTTTTGTGCAGTCAAGTGACAAATGGCAAATATCTCCTTGGAAGTTAGGACATTTTGAAGTGCCACGTAATGATGTATTTTGTGGTCTGTAGTTGAACAGGAAATTGCTAAAGCGTAGAATTAATCAGTGCTTGTAGTCTCTAATACAATTCAAAGTGAATTTTTTTTAACCCTTTTGAGATATTTGCATGAATGCACAAGCGTGGGAAATGATGGTGTTACAGTATACAGTACATTACCCACTGATATTTTCAAACAAAGGATATCCTCCAGCAACAGAGAGGGAATAAAAGGAAAAACAGAACAAGGTCTTTATTTTCATTTTTTAAATTCTTTTAAGACAGTATCCAGAAGGACACTTTGTAGCTGACACGAAGTGAGAAAATACAACCATAGAGGATGGTAGTGAATGGATGAATAGTCCCAACGATCAAAATCCTACACAAATGTAAACACAAGCTTTAGATAGCCAGATGAAATGGCTAGGAGGAAGCTGTGACGTTCCAAAGTACTGACAATGAAAAGAACCCAGGTGGTCAAACACTATGAAGTAAATAATAATAATAATATCATCATCATCATCATCATCCTTATACTTATATAGTGCCTATATGGACGCTCCTCACGAAGAGCTTTACAGATCATGGAGAATTCCCTCCACCACCAATGTGCAGCTCCACCTGACTAATACGACAGCAACCATAGTGCCACAGTACTCTCACCACAGTCCAGCTATCAGCGGGGAGAACACATTGAATGAGCCAGTTCATAGATGGAGATTATTAGGAGGCCATGAATAAAGAAGGCCTTTCAGAATGTTACTTACTGTAAATTTATCAATTTCCTTCATTGTCTAGAAGTCATGATTTGAAGGCATCATAAGAATTCAGAGAGGCATGAATGTAATCAACACAATACTGATATATCATTTTAAATTGCCATCACTGTTTCATTTTTAACTGCAAGGAGTAGCCCTTCTGATTGCACTAGAGGAACTTGACTGCCTTATTATTTCTCATCTTGATCACATTTTGTAAGGAACATATGCTTCTCCAATATACCAAAAATACTGCAGATGAAAAAGTATTATTGAAAATTAAATCAAGCAGTACATGTTTTTAACAAAGATTATTACAGGTTTCTGTTTGGGGTATAACGTATAAAGAAAGAAAAATCTAAATCATAGAAAAATCAAATAAATCATTATTTTAAAATAATCATTCCCAGTTTGCATTCATTACAGCTATAAAACAGAACATCAAAGCTACTTGGGCCAAAAGGTTGATATATACTACAGTATAACATAACTGAGTTCAATTCCCATTCCAGACTTTGGTTAATACTGTATGTATCTTTTTATGTACTCCTAATCAAGTGCTGAATACATTTTAAATGTCCCAAATGACGTCCTTTAAAAAACAGATTTAAGGAAAGAATAAGTATAATAGTTAGTCTAATAGTCTAAAATAGTTAGATATTGATATTCAAGGTGATAGGGAAAGGAAGTATGGAAAGTGCGTTAAAAAAGACAGAATTACCAGTAATGAAAAAAAAGGTGAAAGACAACAGACTGTAACTTAAGATTGTTTTAAATCAATTTCAACAACAAAATCTCAGTTTGCAGGTAAACTCTAAGGGACACATGAAAATAGACTGTAACATCCATGTTTTTCCTACTATAAAGTAGATACCATCCTACTACAGGTCTCATCCTTGACTCTCAGAGATGTTGGAAATGGGTGATGAATGGAAGTAAAGGATCCCATGTTTCTCTCTTATTCAGACTAATGCTACAGACAGCACAGCCATGTGAAACCCCAGATTGCTCCGAACGCAGTGTAACAAGAATGCAAATCAGTTTACAACACCCCTAAAGTCCCATTTGTATCTTTAGCTAAGCAACTCTGTGAACATCCTGAACATTGTGTAAGAAAAGATTAGACAAAGCAGATGTAGAAACCAAGAAATTTGAGCCTGAAGTGTCCATTCGTTAAGCCAAGCTTTAATGTATGCATACAAGGAACAACACATTTGAGGCTTATTGTTGTTGTTCAAAGGGGATATGGCTCTACACAGCTTATATATACTTTTCTCTACACCCTCCCCCTTTTGTCTTTGAGGTAGCATTCTCAAGAAACTCCAGGACTCAGAAAGCATTTAAAACATTTCTTTCTTATCAGGGAGTTTAGCATAAATATTCCCCCATCAGAGAATTTAGTACTGAAGATGGGAGTTCAGTACAGGGAGGGAATAGCATCTTTGCTAAAGCAAGCGTGAAGGTTAGAGTTCAGCATGTGAATTCAGCAGGAGTTAACAGCTCCTACCACTATATGGGTACAGAGTAACATACAGATTCGGTAAGCAGACTCCATCACAAAGCATTACTGGACATAGCCAAGTCTCCATGGAGAAGGAGATCCTTTTTGCCGACCTCTCGCTAGACTAAAAAATGATTTTGTACATGGACAGAACACTAAAATCAGTTTTCGCTTGCAATGAGTAAGCAGATGCTGTACAGTACATTTGCCCTTAATTCTTTGTTGTGGCAGTAAACTTGGCAGTAAAGCTTCTCTTTTGATTGCATATAATTATTAACCACAAGCACTGTACTTTCCAGGCAAAAGGATGCAACACAATGTATCAATATATATAATTATTTATTTCTCATATCATACACATTTTATCATTTTATAGCCTGATCTCATCAGATTCCAGAATCCTAGAAAGATGAGGCCTAGTCAGTTCTGACTAAGAGCTCTAAGGAAAAATGGTTCCTGTTGTTAGTGGACCAGTAGTTGGCGCTCTTCCCTCTGGACCAGAATTTCCAACCCACTGCTTTGTAGATGGAGCCTTTCTTTGGATGAGACACTAACAAACCCATGCTACCTTTTATAAGGAACAAGTAATAGGTTTATTCCTTGCTGAAAAAAAGAAGAAAGAGAACACAACGTATCGGCCATGGACTACTTTTTATAAGACTAGGGATGGTACCCAGTTGCCCTGGTTAAACTGCACCTTGGATCTACACAATCAGGCCTCCCTGAATTCTTGAATTGAAGCAACTGTCACTTCTCTATCTGATCTTCTGTGAAGGAGGAGTGCTGACTTAGAGTGACGTAGAATGTCTGAGCACTGCACTTCAGTGGTGAAAGAAGTTTCCCCACACCATGTGTAAAGCTTTTTAAGGATCCACTGGGATGAATACAAATACTGAACTAATACAAGCAAACATTTTATTTTAACAAAAGTTCTGAAAAACAACTTTTTGGTGGTTTTACCTTTTGGAATCATACACTTGGCATCTGCAATTTAACACAGTACATGCTTGCTTTGACTCTCTTCATATGTAAACTCAAAACTCAACTCTTTACTAGAGCCTATTTCTGACTGCCCTACAGTTTATCCTGTATTTTATTGTTGTTTTTTCTTGTATTTTCTACTGTGCCTTTTTTTCTTTTTATTATTTATCACTATGTACAGCTTCCTTGGGTTTTCCAAGGTGCCTTATAAATAAAAAGTATTGTAATCCTTTTTATACCCTAAAGTAATTGTACTCTGCAGACCCTGGCTGCAGTAATAATCACCCAAGCACTCTGGACAGGAGAAAAAAACAAGTTAAAAATAATTTTGGTGGTTACCTATGGCAGTTTCTGGCATGGCAAACACCGTTCTTTCAGTGGCCACTCTGAACTGTCCATGAACTGAAAGCCCCACACCCTAAAATTAAAACAAAATCACCATTAATATTCGGTTTAATTTACACAAATATAAAATCAATGACACAGTACATGTGGCATAACCACATGCACATGATCAAAACAATCAAAAGTATTTAATGTTATTATATTAATATATTAATACAACAACATGGTGACATTATGGTCTTTACAGCCTCCTGGTGATGAAAGTATACTTACAGCTTACATACAGTATCCAAAAGCATTACAGGAGAAGAATGACTTTTTTATATACTCTATTGGGAGTCATAGCATTAGACAACAAGTCTGAAGGTGGTTCCTGGATCTTAACATTCTGAAATAAGTAAAATTGTATTTTAACATGAAATGCAATCATGAATTCAAGTCACAATCCCTTAAAGGAACCATTTCGCTGCCACCATTCCATTTCTCATTTACACTACAGATATCAACAGGGGCAGAACTTTTCAGCAGCTGTGAACTTCTGTTTCACACTAGAACATCAAGGTTACTAAGTGTTTCTTGCAGTTTGACTAGTGGCAGTGGGTGTGAATTCAATGTGATTCCCTTGAGATGTGCTGAGGAGAAAGATAAGTTGAAATGGTCATGAAGAAAGCAGAGGAGAAGGTAATCTGGAAAAACAAATTGTGTTATCACAAATTTATGACATACTTAAAAAAAATAACTACAGGATTTACAATCTTCCAATACCACCTAAACTCTCTCATTCCACATTTACTCATGGGGAATGATACGTTTTTACTAGAAAAATGTTTCAAATCAGCCATGTCTAGTTTTTGCCTGTCCAAAATCAAGGGGCATTTTGTTAAAATTGTACAATGCACTGATGTCTCTCTTTTGTAATATTGCATGCAATTATTGTTACCACATTACAATAAAAGATATTGGAGCTCTGCAATCAATCTGAAGAGCAGTAGCCAGGTACATTTCACAGCTTAAATGAATATCCTACACTGGCAGGGCAAAGTGAACTGAATAATTTTAGTCTTGAACAGAGAGGATTACGAGCAGACCTGATTCAGAAATTCAAAATCAATCCAAATGACCTCAGCAGAATCACCAGTGATGTATAGTATGAGCCAGAGGGCTAAAGTGGGAAACTGCGGGGAAATGTATCTAAAATTGAACAGTAGGCACATCCTTACACAAAGGGTAGTGGGAGTGTGGAACAAAGTGCTTTGGCGTATTGTTGAAGTGTATACCCTAGCTTCTTTCAAGAAAAGGCTGGATGAAATCCTTGGATCAATTCACTATGAGCAACCTGACAGGGAATCTACATTCCTGACAAGGTGGTATGGCTGAAATGTCATTAGGAGGCTTCAGTAGGAAGCACCCATTTTGTCTTTGATGGAAATCAGGAGTAATCAGTCAGTGAAGATTAATAGCCTAATTGAACACAGGTGTAAGCAAAAAAGGACTCATCTGATAATACTGGGAGCTACAGAACAAGAGTGTCTGTTTTGGGATGGGATGGGATAGATGGATTGCTGGCTGATTGGGTGGGTGGATGGTGGGTGGGGGGGTTGACATAATTAAAAGAATTGTTTGTATAAACATTTGTTATTGTTTGGATGTTCTGAGGTTAGAAATTAGTCCTGCCTCATTGCTAGTGATGGAAAAGTTTATTCCAAGTTAGGACTCAACTAAGGAGTTAATTTTATTGTGGTTGTCTTGTTACAAAAAGGATTTCTTTGACCTATTAAAAGGGGACCGACTACAGGTTTATTTTGAGAGAAACTTTATTAACCAGCCATCTGGCACAGTCGAACAAGCTAGATGGGTTGAATGGCGTAGTCTTGTTTGATTCAGCCTTTCTTGGATTCTTGTGTTATTGTAAGCACTCTCTTGCCTGACCCTTATTTTAATGGCAGCCAAAAAATATTGTATTACAAGTCTTCTTTTTATCTATACCGCTTTTACAAGAAACTCAAATTTCGATCTAAATCCCCTCATTTAAAACCGAAAATGCTTCACTTGTTATGAAAAGCAAATTGATGTTTCTACTTATGCTTCTTTTGAAAAGTTAATCTTACTGAATGTATTAATCATTCAGTGTCAACTAAGCCCACACTAAATCTGTGTTGTCCTGGCACTCTTCCGGCTGCTAATCAATAGTATTTTTGCAGCCTCAGGTTCAGACTTATTACTGGTCTGGTAACTCCTGCTCAAGTCCAATCAGAGTGCAGCAGATCAGACAGCAGACTCACAGCCCTGGTGTCTGGAAGATTATAATTTGAGAGAACATAAAAGCACTAAAATGCCCAGAAATAAAATGTGACATTTTGTACTTTTGCCTCATATTCATCTTCTCAAATTTGAATTGCTTAATTATGTACAGTGGCAAAAATAGCCATTTTGACTACACTGTCCCAATATGTATGGAAGGCACTGTATTGTATATCACTTATTACTGCACGTAGTGATACTAAAACCATTATTATTGTTCTTACTTGAATCCACTTGAATAATTAAAATACTGTATTTTTATTTGTGGAAGCTCATATTTCTTCTTTCAGTTGTTGCTTCCAACCTGGAATCAGGTATTATTGTTTTTCTCTGCAACAGTACTACTATGCCATTTGAACAACAGTCAGTATGAAAAACAAGGTCAGTCCAGATATCACTTGCAAGTGCTACCCATTGACCTCACATTCAGTTCTAAATCAGATTCTTGTTTACTCTGCTGAGGGTATAAATCTCTTTTCCAAATCCTTTAGAATTGAGAGGTGGAAGAACAAACATAGGGTAGGACATCTCTATTCTGTGCCAAGTAATAGTAATCTTGTTTTTCTTCTAAGAACGTTAGTGCATTAGTGTTATTCTGCGAAGTATGTTCCAACACAGTTTTGTAGACAAAAGATAAAGCAAAAAACAAACAAATGCTTATTCATAGATTCCAGTTAATTGCATGCATTGGTACAAACGACAATGCCCTCCATTAAGTTTTTTGTTAACATTTAACATAAAAAGCAGATGTTCCTTTTTAATATGCGTCACCCACAAAGAACAATGCAATTCCCCTTACCAGTATTGGCAGTAGCCTCTTATCTAAGAATATATTGCAGCATCACTTATATTTTCAGGATTTTGATTTACAATGTTTTTAAAACAAATCGTAGTCGTGCATTAGTGAACACTGGGCTATTATAAGGGTACAAAATCCCTGTCAACATTGATTACATCAGAAGCTAATTGTTACTGTCCAGCCACCAGGAAATGACAGAAACTATTACTTTCACGTCTGCAGAGAGACATCAGGACAACAGTTTACAACTAGGGCACGGCTTTAAGATGACACATCTGTATTATAAGATATGATGCTTTCTTTTCTGCCTTTTTCTGTCTTTACCATGATATACTGTATATATAGTATATATATATTACTGTTAAAGCAAACTGGTTCATTTGTTACTATTCTTTTTCTCTTAATTTCAGTATCAATAGCAGTTTGTCTTGTACCAAAAGGAATTAAATTCAAATGTAAAAACACCAAACGGTACTTAACTGAACTGTACTGAACATGAAAACCCATCAGACTAAATTGTCGCAGATTCAGAGGATGTTTCTCAGTGCAGAATCAGCCTCTAATTAATGTATTAGTGATTCTTAGGGAAAAAGCATCCATTAAAATGCTTATTGAATGGAAAATTAGATCTGCCTGCACAGTATGCTTTAAAAAGAGAAGCTTTTTTATTTACGGATGGAAAACCCCACATGCTGCTGGCTGGCCATCCTTTGAGAATCAGAACGGAAAAACAAACTTTCAGCCTCAAGATTAATGGAGCACTACTCCTTAAAAGCAATCCCAAGGCAATATATATCTTAGATTTTGCTTTTTATTATTTGATCATAATCCCAAGGTAAACATTAGGCAGAACTTTAGTTTAACATTCTCTAAACACTAAATAAAATCGAGACCTGAAGAGAACAGACATGTACTGTAAACACTCAATTTGTGTGTCAAGACACACTTAGCAGAAAATGTTTGGAAGTTCTGTAGCAAATATAGTATATCAAATAATTCCCCCCTGAATACTGTATTTAGCTTTCGTCAAATGAGATACAGGACTCTTTTACTTCCCTAGTCACCCAGAATCTGGAAAACAAGACACTGAAATTTAGAAGCACTGTTACCAACCATGAAAAGTATTTAATGAATCATTGCACAAATTTCCAAAAAAAGCTACTACTATTTAAAACCATACATACTGTGCAGTTCAAAAGCAGTTGCATTGTGTGTGAAATTAAATTTATAAGGTCAGGCGTTCATAATAAATGTAATCAATTAAAGAAATGTTTGCATTTTGGTAATGAGGCGATACAGAAATGGTAGCACTCAAGTGAGAAAACCTAGATAATCCCTTGACAGGGCTACTGTGCAATCTGATCACAAGAAGCAGCATAAAAAAAGAAAAAATTAGTCATGCAGAGTCAGAGCTTTTGGCGCATAAAGCTTTGAAAAATCCCACATGAAACAGCAACTTAAGTTCTCTTTCACCTCCCTGCTTCAGCTCGACAAGGTTGTTGTGCTGGTTCAGACTGTTTGTCTCTCTCAAGATCCCCCTCATGTATTCCACTGTGGATCACACTATTGTGCACAACATGGCACATCACAACGATTGAAAAGAACTCTACTTGGATTGGAAAGGAGAGTACTACCACACCAGGGAGGTCTGAACTGAGAGAAAATATTACGAGTCTTCCAGAATTTTGCTAAATGACAGCCCTGATGATTTCAGAGAGAGTGTCTTAATTATCCCCAAGTGGAAATTTGTTTTATAGCAGCAGTAAATATACAGTAAAGAAACACGCACAAACAATACATACAAACATGAGCAAGAGAATCTACTGTTGAACACGGCTATGGCCATAAGTATAAATGTGAACTTGAACCTGTTTGTTTTTAAAAGGGGATATCTGTATCTGTGTTCTGAGGGGAGTAGTTGGAATTCATTACAGAAAGAAAGCGAAGAGTCAACTACAAGGGAATATACTTTA